GGTGCTAAATGAGTGTAAGTCATGGAACACAATGATTCTGGAAGAATCAAAATCACAGGTAACCAAAAGGGCAATGAGAAGACATATAGTAGGAGTGGACAGGCTGCAGCATATTACCAACAATGACTTATATGCATGAAATAATAATAACGATAATAATAGCTAGCATTTACATGGCACTTTAAGGTTTGCAAAGGACTTTACAAATAGTACCTCATGTTAGCCTCACAAAAACTACAGTAAGAGCTACTATTATCCTCATCTTACAGATAAGCAAACTGAGGAAGATAGAGGTTAAGTGACATGCCCAGGATCACAGAGCTAAAAATTGTCTGAGATCAGAATGAAAAATATTATTAAAGACATGTGAGTTAAATGCGGTGAAGTAGTAACTGGACTTGAAGCCAGGTCCAGAAAGACTTGGGCTGAAATCCTACTTCAGATAATTATTAGCTATGTGACCCAGGGCAAGACACAGAACGTCTCTGAGGCTCATCTTCAAAGTCAGGGATGGATTTGACAAAATGCTCTGAAATATATGATCCAAAAGCCTGATACCCAACTTTTTATAAAAATTACAACTATCACCATATTAAACCAAGTAGAAATTTCATAATTATAAAGCTTTCTAAAATGTATTAAATCAGTTAAACAGAACAACATAGTAAAGAAGGCAGCCAGGTGGCACAGTGGATAGAGAGCCTTTGATCTCTGATCTTTTCTAAGACCAGTGAAGACGACAAGGCTGGTCAAGAGTAAGAGACAACAGGGACAGAGTCCAACTGCTATGCTGGCATTCTTGAGAAAATAAAAGAACCAGATAAAGGCATCCAACATGCTGAGTGTTTCTTCTATGGAAGATTTACAAATAGACAAGGATGGGAATCACACAAGATGAGAAGGCATGAAGATAACACCAATGGAGAGACTTTCCACCCAGCATTCCTAGCGTAAAGACATCACAAATTCAGCAAGTTTCTAAAATGACACAAGCCTGAGAAACAGCGTGTTGTAGTAGATAAAGAGCTAACCTCAGAGTCAAGGAGTTAGGAGTTCAGATGGCATCTGGGACAAATACTGGTTGTGACCAGGACCAAGTTACTTAACGTCTTCAAGTGTCTCAGCAGCATTCTAACCTTTTAATTTGCAGAACAGTGGCTGATCACTGGGATTTCCTTACAGCACTGAAATCACAGGTCCAGACAAACAATAAAAATAATAATAATAATAATAATAATGATAGCACTTTGTACTATGTATTATGTACAAGGCACTGTGCTAAGCGCTTTACAATTACTTTCTCAATTGATCCTCACAACAACTCTGGAAGAAGGGTGTTATTATTATCCCCACTTCACAGGTAAGGAAAAGGAGGCAAATAGGTTAAGTGACTTGCTCAGGGTCACACAACCAGTAAGCGTGTGAGGCCAAATTTGGACGTAGAACTTCCTGACTCCAGGCCATGTGCTCTATCCACTGTACTACCTAGCTGTGAAAACAATGTAATGAGTGATTTTTAATAAATATACAAGAACCTAGAAGTCCAAGTGAATATTGTCTTTCAAAGTAGCCTGCTTTAGAAGCAATACGCTTAATGAAATAAGGCTGTCAACATTCAAAACATTTCTGGTGAAAAAGCATGATGAGGCTGACTAAACAATGGCTTCTCCTCCCTGTTTTTAAGTAACTAAATCTCCTCAGTGTCCTTCCCTGAGTATGTAACCAATGTGCCATTTGAATTCGGCCTTCACCACTGGAGGGGGAGTTTAAAAGAAGGAAAGTAAACAGAGCCTGATATAATCAACATATCACAACCATGCGTCCAGTTAGCCTTCAGCAGTCAGTTCAGTCCTTTCTCATGTTCACCACGTTTGCCTGGTCCCTTTCCATCTGTGTGCAAGGAATGAAGCTGCTTCATATTTAGGGCTTCATGCTCTAACTTACTACGGGCCACCCTGAAGTTACCACAGACTTTGAAAAAGATCTCCACAAGCAACTTATGGAACAGAATATTGTCATGACCCTTCAGAATACCTGCCTCTTTGACTCTCTGAAAAATGTAGTGTATATTCATGTATTTCACTCAATTCATGTATTCCACTCAATGAAAATTTGATTGGGCCAACAGAATTAAGTCAAGAGGAATTCCCTGAAATCAATATTACCAATGCTGATCTTCACCAAAATAGAATCCAGACACCTAAAGACGAACCTAGGCTCTCTGCAAAAATCCCACTCAAGTTCAACACTGAATTAAAACAGTCCATTACTAACACAATTCAGCTCCATATAGATATGGCGATCATAGCTAAAGTCAAAGTAGAAAAATACAAAAAGGATATCCACCTAGTTCTTGGGTCCTATATCAGTGAGCCCAACAGTTTAAACATCATGGTTCTCAGTGACAACATCCCAACCAGTGTGAAAAATGTCTTTCACAAACTAGATAGACACCTTCCAAATGCTGTACAAAGAAAAGAGTCTGTCCTCTGGTCAGCAATACTCTCAAGACAATAGACCAGACAGTGATCCCCATCTGGTAGATAACATCTGGCATATTAAGATTAGTGAAATGAAATGACCAACATTTTCACCAAACAGAATTATTTCCTGCTTGTTACTTCATCTCTAGCCAGGAAGATGTTCCAGACTCGAGGCTCTTGACTAAAGATGCTGATTTCCATAATGGTTAGACAATGATGACTGGAAGTAAACCACATTTCCTTGAGATGGACCTGACGTGGTCCTCTTTGGGTTTCAAAAACTCTTTCCTCCTTGGTATCTCTCTTAAAATAAAACCTCTCTGCTTAGGGGGATGGTGAGGGGTAGGATGGGGGGTGGGAAGAGCAAGAGGAAAACCTGAATCAGAAGACCTCAATTCAATTCCTGGCTCCATAATTTATCAGTCATGTGGCCTTAAGCCAGTTATTTAATTTCTTGGGTCCTTGGTTTCTTTATCTGTTATTATGGGGTGGAGAGGGTTAAAACTTGTTCTGTCTATGGAAGAGTAGATATGATGATTCTAATGAGATTATGTTATGTGAAAGCACTTCATAAACTCACTTTTATACAAAAGTTTGGGTTTATAAAGTGCCTTCCCCACAACCCTAACCTAAGTAACGATACATATATTGTATATATATTGTGTATGTATGTATGTACATATATTGAAACTCAGATAAAATGACTTGCCCAAAGTCACCCAGCTATATTATGTATCTGAGACAGAATACAAACATGCATCCTGACTCCAAGTCTGGCAAGCATCCTACATAATGTTCTACAAAGCATCCTGTAAGCGTAATTTATAACTGTAGACAATTTAGCAACCACACAAGAAAATCAGCTTCATAATTCACTGTCACAATAACTCTCCCTTGGTCTGATACCATTTTTCTTTTTCCCATCTGTCCCTATGTTTCCACTCTGCTTAACACAAAGACTTCCTCTACCAAGTCTGAGGGATAAAAAACTAGGAGAGAGTTAAAAGGAAGGATGAAGAACAGGAATCCAAAAAGTTCTCAACAGGATAGAATAGTGGGCTAAATCTACTAAGATTAAATGTAACAATGATAAATATAAAATTTCACACTCAGGTTAAAAAAACAACTTCACAAATACAAGACAGAGATAGGAGTCAGCTAGAAAGCTGTTCAACCGAAAAACACTGGGAGATTTTAGTGCACTAACTGAAAGCTCAATGAGTCAGCCACAAAATGTGGAAGCCAAAAAGAAAAAGCCTAAGCTATGTTAGGAAAGGCACAGTCTTGACGATTAGAGAGTTAGTTCCCCACTGTACCCTTGCCCTAGTTAGACCACATGTGAAATACTGAATTCACAGTCCGAGGCACCATATTTTCAGAAAGACTGTGATAAGCTGGAGAGGGTCCAGGACAGGGCAACCACAATACTGAGAAGCCTCAAGATCCTGACAGATGAGAAAATCAGCAGATGGAACTGGGGGGTGTCTCAGTCTAGAGAAGAGAAGTATTAGGGTAGAAGTTCTTAGATTTCAGGGGGTCCATGAATTTGGATGAGAAAAAAATTAAATTTTAATTTCCACTAATCTCTAAGCAAAATTGAGCATTTCCTTCGATTATTTAAAAACATTATTTTAAGCAGGAGTCCAGTTTCACCAGACTGCCAAAGGGTTTCATGACACAAAACAAAGGTTAAGAACGCCTATATAAAGGAGACATGAAAGTGATCATTAAATATTGGAAGGGTTATAACAAGGAAGAAGAAGATACTTGATGTGCTTGTCTCAACAGGACAGAACAAGAATCAATGAGTAAAAGTTGAAAAGAGGCAAATTTAGGTTTGATATAACGAGAAAAAATCCTAACAATCAAAACTATCCAAAAGTGGAATGAGCTGCCTCAGGAAGTAATGGATTCCCCACCTCTATCAGGGATGTTCTGGATGACCTCTTGTGGGGAAGGTTATAAAAAGTATTACTATTTCCAATTATAACCTCCAGGGATGAGTTATGGTAGCACTGACCCAAGCCAAAAGATCTAGAAAAGAAGAACTGTACAATGTGAGGGTCAGCACTGGAAGCCAATCAATAAAGAATGTTACTTTTTTTATAATGTTACACCTTATGCTAAAAGAAGCTAGGTGGCATAGTGGATAAGGCATTGGGCCTAGAGTAAAGAAGACCTGAATTCAAATTTAGCCTCAGACACTTACTAGTTGTGTGACCCTGGGCAAGTCACTTAATTACTCTTGGCCCCAGTTTTCTCATCTGTAAAATGAGGATATAATAGCACCTCCCTCACAGGGTTGTTATGAAAATGAAATGTGATACCATATGTGAAAATTTACAAACCTTAAAATAATATATAAATGCTAGCTATTACTGTATTATTGTTTCTTAAAAACAAGAATATTTTTCAGCTACTTACAACATATACAAGTAACACTGGTATACTCATTAACTCTGACATCTTTCAATTTTCCAAAAATTTAATGGCATTCCCATTTATTTTCTTACATACCAAATCATTTGCTCCTAAAGCAAGTGCGAGATTCACTGAAAGAAAAAAAAAAAGAAATTTCATTAATATTTTCTTATATTTTTCAAGACATTTTTATATTCAAATGCGTATGTGATAACCAAAGTATGGGTAATTTAAATACATCTCCCTTTGCTTTTTAAATCACTGGGATTGGAAAATAGCACGGAAAATAGAAGTAAATGGTGACTTTCAAATATAATCATCATATGATTTCCCCAAAATTGAAATTTTAAATAAGGCACTTAACTTAGCAAAAGAAATTTCTCTTGAAATTTGAACTGAACATTTTTCTTGAAAAAGTTGTCAGATTTTTTAAAAATACAGAACTTAATGTGAATACTTTCCAGGAGTGTGCTGCTTATCATTGTGAGAAAAGTGTCTCATCACACTTGATTATCAATGGCCATAATCCTACTGATTTTTTAATATGAACTATAGGTACTTTGAAAATTACAAATGCCCCATTTATGATGACCTTCCTCTATGAACAGGGGGCCGAGATTCCTGCCTCCACATCCCCAGACGAAAAACGGATCAGCTGACTGTCATATCTCATTATCCATCCCTCACTGACCCTCCTCAAAGCCAGAGACAAGACTCTCCCTACATATAAGCCCTTGGATTTTCTTATCGCTTCACACTGGGTAGTCAGTAGCTGCTTTAGCTGCAAGGAATGGGATTCTGTGTGACTCTAGCAATGCCACATTGCCTTTTAGCTGCTGTACCTAATACAGGAAAAAAGGTTCTAATTGTTGAGTAGGTGACTGCTTCTACTAGACACAATGTCATGAGAGAAAACAGGCCATTTCTGTCATTTACGAGCTAAACAGCAACTGTGAGGTAAGGCAGTACAGGCATCTAACTGCTATGTACCACAGGAAAAACGTGTTACTAATTTGAAACAACCAACTTACAAGTTAACTTTCGGAACACAACATGTCTGTAAGTTGTGGGGACCTCTTGTAACAAAGGGGAAAGTAATAAAGAAACAGAACTATACCCTTGTCCATCCAACCTTATAATTCTTCTATGTCTAAAAAATTATTGTATTCCAATCAAGATATGATTGAAAAGTACTTTATTTCAATGCAAGCACACAAGTAAAAATTAAGATTCACAGTCCGAGTTCAAATAAGTGTTTTTCAGGCAAGATTGGGCTTTAGTTCCTCCATATAAAATGCAGGAACTCAACAATCCAATCAAGATATGAAGGTGACATTCTGAGGAAGAATGAATAGGAAATATACAAACATGGAAAAATGCATTATTACCAGAATAACTACCAACTTTGAAGGTTTTAATATCTAGAAATTGTGGTTACTGAGTTATCTTCAGAGTTACTGACATTCTCTGCATTCCCACAGGCCCTCAGACACAGCTAGAATACTGCCCCTCATGTCTAACTTTCAAAATCTTGTTGTTGTTGAGTCGTTTTTCAGTCTTGTCCAACTTTTCCTGATGCCATTTGGGATTTTCTTAGCAAAGATACCAAAGTGATTTGCCATTTCCTTCTCCAGCTCATTTTACAGATGAGGAAACTGAGGCAAACAGGATTAAATAACTTACCCAGGGTCACACAGCTACTAAGTGTCTGACGCCAAATCTGAACTCAGGAAGTTGAGTTTTCCTGACTCCAGGCCAGATACTCTATCCACTGTGCCACCTAGCAACTCATCTTCTTTCAAAGCTAAGTTCAGGTGCCACTACCTGTGTATATAGTTTCCTGATTCTTCCTAGCTGAATTTCCCTCAGTCTCCCTTCTCAAATTTCCCTAGAGTTCTTTGTCCCAGTCTCTCTTTTGATATATTACCCTTACAAGGTATTATCTGTGTATGTATTTATCTGTGTATATACTAGACTTGGAGTCAGGAAGATTTGAGTTCAAATTCTTCCTCAGACATTCACTAGACACTGGACAAGTCACAACATCTCTGTGCCTCAGTTTCCTCATCTATAAAATGAGAATAGCAATAACACCTATCTCCCAGGGTTGTTGGGAAAGTTAAAGGAGATGACAAATATTAAGATATTGGTAAACCTTAAAGGGGTGTGTGTGTGTGTATGTGTGTGTGTGTGTGTGTCTGTATGTATGTGTATGTGTACACACACACATATACATACACACATATATACTATATGTATACACTATGTATACATATACATTATATATACACATATACTATATGTGTCTGTGCATGTATATACATATATATACACACACATATGTCAGCTATTATTATTATCATTATGATCATCTCAATAAGATTTCACCATAAGATTCTTCAGAAAACGGACTAAGTCATTTTCCATTTTCGAAGACCTACTGCCTAGCAAAGATCCTTAAAAGTAGTAAGCATTTAATAAATATTTATTGAGGAAGAAAACAAGCTAACTGAAAGGGTCAAATATTTTAATGTTAAAAGATCAAAGAGAGAAAGCACAATCACTTACATTTTTCTCTATGTAGGACAGGAGTTGTTAATCTGAGGTCTATGAACCTGGTTTTGTTTTTATTTTATTATTTTGATAACTATTTGAATATAATTGTTTCCTTTGTAAGCCTATGTATTTTATTTAAGTATTTAAAAACATTCTGAGGAGTCCATAAGTTTTGCCAAACTGCCAAAAAGATTCATAACACAACAAATGTTAAGAACCCCTGAGAGGTTAAAACTAACAAAATGAAATTGAACTTGGCTAGCCAGGGACAGGGACTAAGCCTCTGACTATATTGGCATAGGGAACTTCCCTAAGTGAGAAAATGCTCTCTACTAGTGCAGATCAGCACAGTCTCTGTAATTTATAATCTGAGAGACTATAGCTGCAGCACCTGGATGACTGAGATCACACAGCCAGTATGTGTCAAAAACAGGCTTTGAATCCAAGTTTTCCTGGCTGGGTACCTACCCAATATGTCATACTGCTTCTCACAGGGATAAATACATAAAAAAAAGAATATGGGTGAAAATCTGACTTAGGAGCATCATATGAAAATGAGAGAAGTGACTCCAAGATCAACGTGAGCCAATTTTTTAGTGTAGCTACTTTCTATGCAATCTTAAGCTGTGTTAAGAGGAATCTATCTATAGTATCTATATAGTATATATAGTAATCTATCTATAGTATCATGAAATCACTGTACTCTGGCTAATCCAACCACAGATGGAGTACTATGTTCAGTTTCCAGCAACACATTTAAGAGATGCTGACAAAGGTAAGTCCAGGAAACACAACATCTAGAGACTGTTGTCACTTGGGGTACAGTTGAAGGAACTGGGGAATCTTTTACCTAGAAAAGAAAATACTTAAGTGAGAATATGATACCTATCTTTAAATATTTGAATGGCTGTCACACGAAATCAGAATTAAGACTTCTATGTAGCTCATCAGACACATCCAAAAATGAAGGCTGGACAACCAGAGATATCAGGGACGTTGTAGAGACCACTCTGCAATGAGTGTGAAACTGAAAGCCTCTGAAGTCTCCTCCAACTCAGATTCAAGATTCCATTTTAAGAGAACTGTGTATAAATAACTGAATTGAACTATTACTACTATAATTCAAAATGCTAGACAAAAAGTTCCACACTCCCACACAAACAAAGGTGTTCCCAAGTCCATAAGTTATGTAGCAACATGAAGAACAATGTAAACACATGCTAACACTACAATAGTTTGTCCTAAGATAAAATTTTCACATCTCAAGGAAGGCCTTCCCATCTAAAGCAAATTAAAATCATGACGCCTGGGGGAAATGATGAGGAGGAGGAGGAGGAGGATGATTAATTGACCGACTGCTACGATGAAAAAGCATTTATTAAGCACTTACTATGTGCCAAGCAATGTGTTAAGTGCTGAAGATACAAATAGAAAAAAATAAGGACAGTCTCCGTCCTCAAGGACCTTACTACATTTTAATGGGAATGACTTCATAAAGGGGGTAATTAGGTTGGAAAGTTACAGAGATGGTGAGTGAAGTCCTGGGGGAGTAGATAAATATATCCCATCGAGGAATAATGGCAGCGCTGATATGATTCAAGGTTCATGGTGCCAGAATTGGGGAAGGGAAGACAAGCATTAGACAGATGTCAAAAGCTACCTGATCTTAAACTTCAAAAAAATACATAAATATCTATTAATAATAAACACCTTCATATTTCTTAAAAGAAGTGCTAAAGTCTTAAGATAACCATTCTACAAGCTTTTCCCATAAAGGACTTGAAATTGGTAGCTACAAATCTCCTTTTACCCTCCCTTCAGTTCATTCATGCTTCCCTTCCTTCTTATTCTACTATTCTCCTTTTTGAAAGTAATAAACTTTGACTTGCCATAGAAAGCTACACTCTCTTCATTCCTTTACTTTAATATTTAGTCCAAATACTGAGCACAAGTCTTCAAAATATTTTGGAGGAAAAAACAGTTTAATATGTGGACTAGCAGGAGAAAGAAAAAGTACCTTAAGTTGGAAATTCAATTCAGCAAGTATTTCTTGAGTGCCCAAAATGTACCAAGCACTGTGCTGGTGCTGAGTATACAAAGACAAAAATGAAAACTGCCCCTACATTCAAGGAATTGACATCCCTACTGAGAAGGCACAATACATATAGAGAGGAGTAAATACACAATATATAAAAAGTAAATATTTATTGAATTCACTGATGAAGATTTGAGGTCTATGAACTTTTTTTACATATGTTGATAAGAGTCCACAACACAAAAAAGATTAAGAACCCATCTCCTGGTGTAGAGGAAAAAACAGTGGCATGAGAATCAAGAAACCAAGGTTCTAGTACTAAGTCTGCCACTCATTGGCTTGATAGAAAGAGAACCTAGACTAAAGCCCTTCTCCAATGCCTCATTAAGGCTGACGCTGAACTCTCAAATATCATATTTGTGAAACACAAAATCTTTGTCAGTTTCTTCCAGGTTCAAAAAGTTTAGATACGAGGCCACGTCTGGATTAAAAATTTGCTGTATAAAGAGCAGTCCAGCTAAACTTAGAAAAGCTCTGAACTAGGGAGGGAGTGGGAGTTGAGAGCTTTGTGCCTGAGGAAATAGCCATACTCATAAAATCACAGATCCCCAAAGAGTGGAAAGAAAGAAGCCATATGGCCCTTTCATTTCCTGAAAATTTCACCTCTGGGAAGACACAAACCCTTTGCTCAGTAAACATTATCAGGTTTGGTTCTCTCTGGTTATGTTCTATGCCTCCAAATCGTTCCCCTACTTCTAGAACCATTGGGATTTCCAAAGGTAGAAAGTCCTCCAGTAAAGAATGGAGACATTTTCATGGGCTGGGAAAAAGCAGACTAGATGGTTCTGAATCGGTGGCTTAAAAGTAATCAATCCAATTCAACAAACATGAATTAAATGCCTACTAGGAGAAACTCTTACTATAATCAAAATCAGGAAAAAAGATAACAAATAATAACATGCCATCTACAATATGGTCCCAACCTATCTTTCCAGACTTATTTCTGTTTGCATTCCTAAAACCTTCATCCCCATCAAATCAATTTATCCTTTGTATCTCAAACCCATCTTATACTTTTGTACCCCTAGATTTTTACTTAAACTACCATTTTCCCTGCCTCATTTTTCTCCAAATATCAAAACCTTACCCAACTCCCAAATTACTCCAGTCCACCATCCTACCTACGAACTCTTATGGCATCTGTCATTCACTTGTTGTTGAGTCATTTTTCAGTCATGCCCAACCATTCATATCCCCATTGAGGATTTTTTTGGCAGAGATACTGGAGTGGTTTGCTATTTCCTTCTCCAGTTCATTTTACAGATGTGGAAACTGAGGCAAACAGGGTTAAGGGACTTGCCCAGGGTCTCACAGCCAGTAAGTGTCTGAGGCCATATTTGAACTCAGGAAGATGAGTTTTCCTGGCTCTAGGCTCAGCCCTCTGTGCACTATGGCGCCACCTAGCTGCCCTGTCATTCACTTAATAAGTCAACTATTATTTAGTGTCTGAATCATTCATCTAATAATTCAATTCAAAAATGTTTCTTAAATGCCTACTGCGTTTCAATGTATCCTCAGAGATTAACACATAGCAGACCCTTAATAAATGGTTGCTGACTTGATTTGACAATTGTGAGTCAGGTACTAGGCTAGGAAATTAACAATGCACTGCCTGATAACTTTTTAAATTGTACTGAAATGTTATTTAATAAGAAGAAATATGTAGTCATTATTTAAATGTTTCACTATTGACTACCTGTTCTTCCTGAGCACATCCCTGCGCCTTAGTGACTACAATACTACTCCCTTCTGTCTGACCACTCCTTCTCAGTGTCCTTCAAAGGTTCACACCCTCTAAGTGGGAGTGTTCCCTAAGGATCGGATCCTTGATGTAGCTCCTTTCTCTATTCTTTTCTTTTGCAAAATGATCTCAGTTACTCCCATGGGTTCAACTTCAGTCACTCTGCATATGACTCTGTAATCTATATATCCAGCTCCAAACTCTCCCTCTAGTTTCTCTCATATCTTCAACTGCCAGCTGGACATATCCATATGGTTGTTCCACTGGTATCTCAACATGAACTTATCATCCCTCTAAAACCTTCCTTCCCAATTTTTCTATTCCTAATATCCTAATATTGACACCCTATAGTATCAATCACAAAGGCCTGCAAAGTCGGTCAATCAATAAACACTTACTAAACATCTACTATGTGCAAAGCACTGGGGACAGAAAAAGAAACAAAAGCCCGTCTCTGCCCTGGAGAAGCTCACAATCTAATGACAGTGACAACAAGCAAACAAATACGTACAAACTACATACAGGACAAACAGAAAATAAACCAGAGGGAAGGCACTAGAATTAAGATGGGTTGGGAAAGGCTTCCTGTAGATGAAGGGAAGTAATCTTTGACTCTTCCTTCACCCTCACCTCCCACATCTGGTCAGCTGCCAAGTTTTGTCCATTATACCTCCATAATTATTAACTCAGGTCTTTACTATTTTGACAGCCTCAGGAAGGTCTCCCATCCTCCAGAATCTCTCCTCTCTCTCCAAACTAGCCTTCACACAAATGCCAAGATCATCTTTCTTATGCACATGTCTATGTCCACTTCCTTGCTGAAAAACCTTCAGTGGTTCCCTAGGAGAAAATACAAACTCTTTGACAAGACATTTAATGTCTTCCACAATTTGACTCCAACTCCAGTCTTATTTCACATCACCTCCTTCACACATTCTACATTAATAATAATGAAGGTAGCTAGGTGGCACAGCACTTTGACCTGGAATCAGTAAGATCTGAGTACAAATCTAGCCTCAAACACTTAGTCAGCTGTGAGATCCTATGCAAGTCACTTAACCATTATCTGATGCAGCTTCCTAATCTGTAAAATGGGGATAATAATAGCTACTCCCAGGGTTGTTGTGATGATTAAATGAGATAATATAAGCATTATGCAAATCTTAAAGTGATACATTAATGCCAGCTGTAATTCTTATTTATAAGGTTTGCACAGTGTTTTACCTATGTTATTTAATTCGATTTTCACAACAACCCTGGAGATAGCTATGAGATAGGTGTTATCATTAGCCCAATTTTACAAATGAAGAAACTGAGGCTGAAGGAGGTTAGGTACTATCCCCAAGGTCAATTGGTTAGTCAAATGGCATTTATTAAGCATTTACTATTTGTCCGGCGCTATACAAGCATTGGAGATACACAACTAATAAGTGTCTGAAGCATGACTCAAACTCAGGTCTTCCTGATTCCAAGTTCAATGTTCTATCACCTATGGCACCTACCTGCCTCACAAAGATGCTACATTCTAGATAAAATAGACTAGTAACTGTTCTCCCAACTCAACATGTCATTTGTCACCTACATGTATGTGTGCAGGCCACTCCCAATGCCTGGAATCACTCCTTCCTCATCAAAATCTCTCTCTTCCTTTAAGGTTAAGCTCAAGTACCACCCCTGCCCTGATCCCTACTTAGCTGAAAGTGTTCTTCTCCCACGAGGTGGAGTGCTTTTTTCTGGATCTCTCCTCTGCTGCTATCACATTCTCTTTAGTATTATATTTCTCATGCACCCCCTTAGCAGATTGTAAGCCCACTTCGACCAAGGATTAGTATATCATTTTTCATCTTTGCATTCCCAGCTCCTAACATGATGCCTTATTCACAGTAGGTGTTTAATACATTTAAGTGTGTTGAAACGTTTACATCTTGTTTTCAAGATTAATGCTTGTTCTAAATAACCATTTTGGCAGTAAATACCAGTAAAATACTAAAATTAACATGTTCTTAAATCAGAAAAAGATTTCATGTACAATTTTAACATACCTGCTGTAGTTGATTTTCCAACACCCCCCTTTCCAGAAGCCACTACTATGACTTGTTTAACACCTTCTATAGGTTTCTGCTTTGGAAGTCCTCTAGCCATGATCTGTGCTCTTCTGTCTTTTAAGGCATCACTGTCAGCACCAGATGACTTGAAAAAAAAACACATACATATTATACATTTAGAATAAAAGCATTAACATGCTTGTCTATAGCAACTGTTTAAAGTGCTTGGTGTGCAAAAAATAAATTTAGGTTAAAATTACTGACAGCCAATCATTAAAAACACTTTTTTTTTTTTCTGTTCAATCTTGCTCATGTCAACTACCTCAGCCTGTGGCCAGTTATAATTAACTCCTAAGGCAAAAACTGGTACAACTAATGACAATGATACTAGTTCATGGAACTTTAAATTTCTCAAAATGGATATGAAATACAAAATGAGATGCAAAATATGAAGCATATCCAAGGTGTCTCAGGAGTCCTGGTGCAGTTTTAAGCTATTAATGCTTAAAGTAAAGCTTTAGTAGTAAAAAAAGCAACTAACTACTAAAGCTTTACTTTAAGCATTAATAGTTTCAAAGTGCACTAAGACTTTTAGGTCACCTAGATGGTGTGACTGAAAGAAGAAGGAAATGATGATACAATGAAAAGAATGCTTGTTCTCGAATCAAGAGGACCTAGTTTCAATTTCCCCAAGTGAATATTGTACAAACCTAAACCAAGTTTCTTGACAGCAATCAATCTGTTTCCTCATCCGTAAAATGAGGAGGAAGGACCAGATGACTTCTGAGGTCCTTTCAAGCTCTAGTTCCATGAAAAGCAGAGGGAAGAAGTTCCTAACAGGTCTTAACTCTTCTAGTTCGTTCCATACACTTTAAACAACTCTGAATACCAGTTAGGTTTCATTTAATACACAGACTCCATTCTAACTGCATAGTCTGTGACTACCTACTCTATGTCCTATTACCACATGGCCCAGTTGAGTGGGAGGCAGAAAAGGAGTTAATCCTGACGACTCCACCTCTCATATCCCATGCTCATCATATCTGTCCCTCAGTATGAGGAATGAGGCAATGATGGTGGAGAAGGAAGACTCCCCAGCACTACAGGGCTGGGGAAAGCAAAGTCAACTTGGAAACAGAAGACAGGGGTTCAACTCCTCATTCTGTCACTTAAGACCCTGGACAGGAAGTTAGCATTTATATAGTGCTTTAGGGTTTGCAAAGCTGCAACAACTCTGGAAGGTAGATTCTATTATTATCCCCATTTTACAAAGGAGGATGACTGAAGCAGAGCAAAGTTAAGTGACATGCCCAAAGTGGCTAAGGGAATGGCTAAGGCCTTATTAGAAGTCAGGTCTACCCGAATCCAAGTCCTTCATTCTATCCACGGTGTCACCTATTAGCCTCAAGTCACTTTTATCCTCTGGTTTCAGTTTCCTCAGTGGTAAAATGCAAGGGGTTGCTTGGACTAAAAGCATGGTGGAGGAGGGGGGCCTAGGGGGCAAAGTGGATAGAGCTCAGGGCCAGAAGACTCGTCTTCTTGAGTTCAATCTGACATTTGCTGGATGTGGGACCCAGGGCAAGTCACTTAACCCTATTTGCCTTGGTTTTCTCATCTGTAAAATGAGCCGAAGGAAATGACACACCAATCCTGGATCTTTGCCAAGAAAACTCCGAATGGGGTCACGCAGAGTCGGACGCGACTGAAAACGACTGAACAACAAGAAGCCTGGACTAAGTGACTTCTGGGAAAGCAAAAGACAAACACAAAGTGTCTCGTCCCCCAGCTCTCCCTCGTGCCCACAGTGCCTCTACTGACCCGCGGCCGCCAAGACGAGGCCGGGCCGCTCTTCGGCCACTCAGAGCGGCGGACGCAGCCCCAGGGAGAGGTACCGGGGTGCAGCAGCAGCCTCCGCCAGGCCCCCATGGCCTTCCGTCCATCCAGCTCGTGCTCGTGCAACGGGGAGGTGACCAAGGCCTCGGCGCGCGCTGATGACGTCACGTAGCAACGCTCGGCGTCCCCGCCCTGGAGATGGAGGAGGAGGAGACGGCGCTTCTTGCGCGGCAGCCTCCCAGTGTCCGTAAAGCTCCGCCGCTTCCGCGGCGCCCGGGGTTGGGGGGCTTTTTCCCTTGTACTCAAGTGGAATCGTTTCCCTTTAATCCGGATACTGATGACTTTCGTCCTGCGAGGTGTAGGTCTAAAAAAACGCTGGCCCCAAACCACATCCCACAAGGCTGGAGTGAGAAATGCCAATCAAGCGTTCACAACAGGGCCAAGCCACCCAGCTGAAATGCGGGGCTACAGGGCATGAACTAAGGGCTCTAGATACATTATGTTATTAAATTAAGCTATTAATTACTTTAAATAATTGATAAATAAGTCGATAAATAATTGAATAGCAGAGTAATTATCAGGAGCCTATGGTAGGAATAGGCAATTTTAATTGCAATACAAAGAGAATGACAAAGCAGGACAAACTTTTTTTAACTTTTGTTATTCTGAACATGGCATTCACCTACAAATATTAGTATTTCCATATACAAAGATCAGAGAAGATTATATATTAAATCGGGAATCTATTACAACATCCTTTTTTTAAAGAGACGGTCATATTATTCTGAACTATGTTATTTTGAACGTGACATTCACCAACAAATATGAGTATTTCCATATATAAAGATCAGAAAAGATTATATATGAAACCGAGAATCTATTACAATTTTCTGTTTTTAAAGGGGGGGGTTTACTGCCGATGTGAAATGTTACATGTACTTTCTGATGGGAGCACTACTGTTTTTAGGGAAGAGGTGAAAGAGGTGGGGGCCCCACATTTACAGGGGGGCCCACATGTGGTAAAAGTGTTGTACTTGTGTGTGGCTCAAAAGAAAGCAGAAGAGACATTTTTAGCTTCTTTTCCCCACACCTCCAAGGGAGACTTTCATTCCTGACAGGAGGAGATGCAGAAGGTTGGGACCAGAAGCTACTCTGCTCTCTTCAGAAGAGACGGGGGTATCAGACTAGAAGTATATCTCTATCTGCTACCTTAAATATGTTCATCTAGGAAATAGGATTTGGTTCCATCTAACTTTTGATCACTTTGTCATTATGGGGCTGCAAAGGAAGACCCCAAGCTCTATTTCCAAGACTTGACCCCTTTCGCTTCTAATACTGGCTCCACAACGAATACACATAGAGAATAGTAAAGAAACCCATTTATCCAAATAGCAAAACAGAAATCAGAGAAGGTATACATACGAAAATATATACCAGACAATACAAAATGAAAGAACTCTCCCACTGGCCGGGGGATAACTCAGCCCAGTCAAAAGAGAGTGTCCTAGATCTCACCCAAGGGGAAACTCCCTGAAGTATCTAGATTGGCATCCTGGGAATAGGGACAAGATGGAATCTGCCTGCTCTTCTCTCATCTTCCCAGAGTCTTTTCCTTCAGCAACCTGAAGTGAGGTTGACCTCTCTCTTGAAACTGGAAACTGACTTAACGTACTGGAAGAAGACTATCACTTTGAGAGTCTCAAAGTGGGATTCATGTAGGGGTACTGGCCCTGACGAGTGTCAAAGAGGAGACTGGCCAAGAACTGAAACTCTCACCTCTCACCAACTCCACCCTACCCCTCACAGGGCCATCTCCACCAATAAGGAGAGAGTCCCATACCAATAGGCCTTGAGACAGGGGTTACATTAGTTTTGCTTAATTGTTTTACTTTGTTGCAAGAGATGGGAAGATGGGAAGAATTTTAAATTCCAAGAAAAATAAATCCTAGAAATAAAAGTCAGCCCTTTATTGACTAAGATGACATGGTCAGATCTGCTTTAGGAAAATCACTTGATAAAGAATGAATTGGGGGCAGCTAGATGGTGCAGTGGATAGAGCTCCGGCCTTCAAATCCAGCCGACCCTTGGCAAGTCACTTAACCCCGATTCCCTCACCAAAAAGTAAAAAAGAAAAAAGAAAAAAAAAAAAGAATGAATTGAAACCAGCAAGTAGAAACCAGAAGACCAATTAGGAGGCTATTGCAATAGTCCAGTTGAAAGGTAATAAGGCCCTGAACTGGGCAGTGGTTGTGTGAGTGAAGAGAATGGAACATATCTGGTAGATGTAGATGGCTACAGAAACAACAAAATATGTCAGTCCTTCAACAAGCATTTGTTAAACCCTTAATATGTGCTAGACACTGTGCTAAATCCTGGGAATACAAATACAAGCAGAAAAACAATCCTTGCCCTCAAGGGGCTTACTTTCTAATGAGGAAAGACAACACAAAGGGTAGCTGAAAAGGATGAGGGCAGGGGAAAAAGAGATCAAGGTGGCAGGTTCAGGGGCGTGATAGAGAAATATGTAGTACATCCCGGAGAGAAATGAAGAAGTGACTGGTCTGGGAGTCTTTCTTACATGAAGGTGTCCACTACAAGGGAGAATCTATATGGGCAGAGAGGGTATTTCCAATGTGTGAATTTCAGGGCTGAAGTGAGCTTGCAGGATGAAAAAGGTTCTTACAGGGGTGGGGAACCTGCAGCCTCAAGGATACATGTGTCCCTCTAGGTCTTCAAGTTCAGCCCTTTGATTGAACCCAAACTTCACAGAACAAATCCCCTTAATAAAAGGATGTGTTCTGTAAAACTTGGACTCAGTCAAAAGGCCACATGTGGCCTTGAGGCCTGTATTTAGAACATGGTAGAGAAAGTCCAGGATGTAACCTGGAAAGAAATGAAGCAACTGAAGATGACAACTGATTTGATATGTGAAGTGAGTGAGAGTGAAAGTCACACCAAGTGAACCTGAGTAACTGGGAAGATGGTGGTGTGCTTGGCAGTAATAGAAAAGGATAGATTTGAGAGGAGAGTTGATGAGATCTATTCTAAACATATTTAGTTTGAGATCAGTTCAGGACAAGCCATTTTAAGTGTTCAGTAGGCAGTAAGTGATATGGGACTGGAGTTCATGAGAGATCCTGGAAATCATCTGCATAGATATAATAGTTGAACTCATGGAAGCTGATGAGACCAAGAAAGAAAATGTAGAGAAAAAAGAAAAGACAGCCCAGGAAAGAGCCTTGGAAGACATAATTAATGTGAGTGGAATGGATGATGAATGGATGATGAACCAGAGAAAGAGACTAAGAAGGAATGGTCTCACAGGCAAGAAGAAAACTGAAAGAGATATGTGTTATGAAAATTCAAAGAAAAGAGAATATTCGAGAGTGGTATCTAGGTGGTCGACACATGCTGGAGAGAGCTCAAACAAAATGAAAACTGAGAAGAAGTCATTGGATTTGACAATTAAAAACCACAGAGAGATCAAAGATGATAATAGTGATGAGGTCTCGGATTGCAGAGGACTTAGAAGAGAGGGAGATGAGAGGAACCCAAAGTACTATAGATAGCTTTTTCAAAAAGTTCAGCTGAGAAAGGAAGGAGAAATATACAATAGGCAGCAGAAATGCTTGAATCTGATGTGGGTTGTTTTTTGTTTGTTTTTTAGGATGGGAGAAACTCTGGCATGTTTGTAGGCACCAGGAAAGTGGTCAGTAGACAGGGAGATTTGAAAGATTGCAGGAGAGGTGAAAGATGATAATGGAGACAATCTGCTAGAAAAGACACAAGGGGATGAGAACAAGAGTACAGGTAGAAAGGTTGATATTAATGAAGAGGAGGGCCACCTTTTCATCAGAGACTGGAATAAAGGAGGAACTAGTTAGGATACTATCAAAGGTATGTGAAATATGGGAGAAAGTTGGGGTGAATAGTCTCTATTAGGTAAAATATGAGGCAAGGACTCCAGTGAAGAGTATGAGAGAAGGAATTCTGTAGGGGAGCTTGAGAAGTTTTAGAAGAGCTCTAGTAGAAAGTGACAAAGAAGAGGGAGAGAAGAACTTTTTCTTGAAATTTTAAAATTAAATTAAATTTAAAATTTAAATTTAAATAATCAATTAATTTAAATTAAAAATAAAATAGAAAGGAAAGCCAAGAACGCAATGTAATGGAGGAAGGAGTTGGTAGGTGCAGAGAGGTGGAGGGAGGTAGGCAGAGCCAGATCTCAGTGAGAGCCAAAATATGGAAAAAATATGAGAAGATAGGTAGAAGTAGATAGAATGTTCTCGTTCTGGTCTTACCTTGTAGCTTTTTGGTGGGATCTAAGTCTAAGATAGGAGTTTGCAAACTATGGCATGTGGACCATATCTGGCCTTCTTTCTGTTTTTGTACAGCTCATGATCTATACAATGGTTTTTACAGTTTTAAATACAAAATAACATTCTTAGCTTATGTGCCATACAAAAATAGGAGGAACAAAATCTTATAACGGTGAATGTTGAAAGCTATCTTTACATGTAATTGGAAAAAATAAAATATTGTTAAGTGGGGGAGGGAAATACGAGGCAGGCCAAATTTGGCCTGTGGGCCATTGTATGTATTTTGTTCACTGCAGTGACCTGAACAGGAGGAGAACCTCCCACAGTGTAGGAACAACTCTAGTCAATCTGTTCTGAATGTTTGGATTTTAGATTTAGTGCTAAAGGAATCTGAGCAATCATCTAGTACAACATCTTCATTTTTCAGGTAAGGAAACTAAGGCTCAAAAACTAAGCCCTTATTAAGTGACTTGCTAAAGGCCAAAAGTAAGCAAGTGAAAGGGCTAGGATTCAAATCTGACTTCAGCTTCAGTACTCTGCACTGTACTACTCTGCCTTCTGTGCTGGACCCTAGCATAAACATTAGATACTAGATAAAGGGTAAAATAGGTAAAATCAAAGAAATAACTGTTTTTGACAATTCAACTGAAATACAAAAAAAAATCACATAGCTGAAACTAGCTGCAAGTTTTAACTAGTTTAGCTATGGTCACAACCCCTCATAAAATACCTTGGAGAAGACATTCTAGGCAGAGGGAATATCAGGACAGACTTAAGAGGAAGGTAAACTGAGGGCATGCCCAGGAAACAATGATCCATCCAGTTTGGTTGGAGCAAACAGTGCCTAAAAAGGAATAGTGGGAGATAAACCTAGAAGGGGAAGGTAGACCAGATCATACAGGCTGTAAATCACAGGATGAGAAGTCTGGTCCTTGTTAGCCAGCAATGAGGAAGCATGGAGGCATTCGAGCTAGAGAATATGATTATAATTGCACTTTAGAAAGATTAATCTGGCAGTTGTGTTAGATGGTTTGGAAGTGAAGACTAAAGTCTTCACTGGGATTTAAAGGGAAGCAATTTTTGAACCTGTT